GCTCCGCGTCGGGCTCTGTGCTGCCAGCTCAGAGCCTGGAGCCTGTTTCAGAGTCTGTGACTCCCTCTCTCTCTGACCCTCCCCTGCTCACGCTGTCTCTCTCTCTCTTAGAAATAAATAAAACATTAAAATATATATATATATATAATGGGAATAATCATTACTGAATTCATGACCATGTTACCTCTAGAAGTGGACAAGAGAGGGAAACAGAGAGGATCAACCAGGATACATACAAGCCTAAGTTGTATCTGTAGTTTTATCCCTTTGAAAATTTTAAATTGGAAAAAGAAAACACATAATTAGAAAAATAGAAAAAAAATAGACAGGAGTGCCTGGGTGGCTCAGTCAGTTTGGTGTTCAAGTGTTGGTTTCAGCTCAGGTCATGATCTCATGGTTCAGGAATTCAAGCCCCACACTGGGCTCTGTGCTGACAGCTCAGAGGAGCTTGCTTGGGATTCTCCCTCTCCTTCTCTCTGCCCCTCTCCTGCTCTCTCATACTTACTCATTGTCGTGTGCTCTCTCAAAATAAACAAACTTAAAAAGATAAAACTACACAAAGTAAATATGATGGCCTATAAGGTAGTCATTACATGATTTTCTGTATGTTTGAAAATATGTGAAATATAAAAATATTTCATATTTTAAAATAAATTTTAACATTAAAGAAACCCCATTAAACTGAATCTAGGAGCTTTTAAAACATATATTCCACTGGACATCTGAAATGGAAACATACTAATTCCCAACAAACCGTGTATTTTTGTTTTTGTTTGTTTTATCCATTAAGTTTCAGGCACCAGACCAATCCTCTCTTTCCAAGCAGACCCTGACATAGCAGGCTTTTCCATCTTACACTCTTGAAATTGCTTCCCAATCAAGATACACACAAAAGGTAGGAACAAATAGTTCAACACTCCCCATGTCAATTTAATCCTTCTCATTCTGTATTTCACCCAAAAAGGGGGCAGTTTTTCCTGCTCTGCTGGCAATTTTGCTATTTTTATTGTTTTCGAGTTTTGGGGGGTTTCTTTTTTTGGTTTGCTGCTAAAGTTGTTTTCCATTTAAGAGAGAAAGGTGAGGGACACGTGGGTGGCTCAGGAAGTTAAATATCTGGCTCTTGACTTCTGCTCAGGTCATGATCTCACAGGTGTGGGTTCCAGTCCCATGTTGGGCTCTGCATATGCAATGCAGAGCCTGCTTGAGATTCTCTCTGCCCCTCTCCCATTCACATGCTCGCTCGCTCTCTCTCTTTTAAAATAAATAACTTAAGGGGCGCCTGGGTGGCTCAGTCGGTTAAGCGTCCAGTTTCAGCTCAGGTCATGATCTCACGATTCGTGGATTAGAGCCCCACGTCGGGCTCTGTGTGGACAGCTAGCTCACTCAGAGCCTGGAGCCTGATTCAGATTCTGTGTCTCCCTCTCTCTCTCTGACCCTCCCCTGCTTACATTGTCTGTCTGTCTCTCTCAGAAATAAACAAATAAATAAATAAAATAACTTAAAATAAAAGAGGGAGTGAGGAAGGAAGGAACGACAGCCACAACAAATTCTGGTAACCAATCAAGAAACACAACCAAATTTCAAATAGTAAAAAGTTATATAAGATATACTACGTCAAATGACAAGGAACTTGGCAATCCATAACAATTTGTAATCAACTTCTTTAAAGCAAAGAACTTTTTGCTTTACAAAAAGCACCTAAAAAACATGATGAACACCAACCACTCATAAAAAAAGGTTAGCTGACTTCATTAATTCTGCTCTATCCACAAGAATCCATGTAGCATATCTTATAAAACAGCTTACCAGAAATTCTCTCTCCAGCTTTATCTCATAGTATTACTCTACCACTTTTAGTGAGAGAAACCTATTCATTAAACCCTCTATACATCCACTTTTGCATCTCCTTACTCTGTGTCATTGTCTCTTATGTACTGTATTCCCTGATCCCACAAATATGCATGCGATAATCTCCCCACTTTGAATAAACAGTAAGAGCTAACATTTAGAGAGGATTTAATGCATGCTAATATTGCTTCAATGGAATTATCCCATTTAACCAACACACCCCTATAAAATTTGTTCTATTTTCTCCTTTTTGGTGGTGAGAGAAACTGAGTGAGGCTAAGTTTTCCAGGCATGGATGGTTAAGTTCTAAGCGAGGTCTCAAATCCAGACTCCAAAAACCAGGCCCTGAAACATATGTGATGCAGTCTATGTTCAAAGTACTGACTGCCTTTATTGCTCAAATATCACTTAACATATGCCCTGTGACATTTAACATTATATGTTTACAGATGTTGTCTAAGTGGCTCAAAATACTACATTCCTTCAATAAAAATTTACTGAGAGACCGTATTGTATGCCAGGCAGCGTTGGCTACTGGGTATAAAAGCATGTTACAGAGCCTCTACAAACGAAAAGTAGACGGATTCTTCAGATACATGGACAACCCAGAAATGTAAGTAAATGCAAAATTAAAAACAGTATGTACAGGGGCAAGTGGGTGGCTCACTCAGTTAAGCAACTGACTCTGTTTCAACTCAGATCATGATCTCAGTTTCGTGGATTCAAGCCCTGCATCAATCAGGCTCTGCTGTGGCAGCACGGGGATTCTCTGTCCCTCTCTCTCTCTGCCCCTCCGCCATTCTCGGGGTCTCTGTCTCTTGCAAAATAAATAAATAAACTTAAAAAAAATATGTACATAGTAATTTAAACTACATAAAACCAGTGGTCTCCTGGGTAGCTCAGTCAGTTAGACACCTGACTTCAGCTCAGGTCATGATCTCACAATTAATGAGTTCGAGCTCATGTTGGGCTCTGTGCTGACAGCTCAAAGCTTGGAGTCTGCTTCGGCTTCTGTGTCTCCCTCTCTCTCTTCCCCTCCCCTGCTCACACTCTGTCTCTGTCTCTCAAAAGTGAATAAAACGTTAAAAATTAAAAAAAAAAAACTACACAGAAACAATGCCTAGATTAGGAACTGGGAAAGAACATAGTTATAAATAATATGGGGTTTGTTTTTGTTCTTTGGTATTTCACTGAATTAAGCTTTTTCTTAAGAGACTTAAGCAATGAAAAGATGAATTAAAAAACAAACATGTTATGAACACTTTCTTTCCCCTACAAAACAGCAGAAACAGTCTAGAGTCAGATGAATGAACATTCCTCCTCTAACATCCCACTGTAAAGTGGCTTTTTAGGAAGATACACCTGATGTCAGTAGTAAGGCTTGCAGATTCTTAAGCAAACACCTCTCTGCATAAATCTTCCCACAATTACAAACTTCTGGAAACCTGTATGTAGCTAACTGCAAAGTTTCATACAATGGAATCAAATCTTGGAACTGTCCAAAACCTTGCAGAACATCTGCGTCAGCCCTCTCATTTTACAGACTGATTACTAAATTCTAGGCTAATGAGAGTAAATGCAGCAACCTGTAAGAGCTGAAATTGTGCTTCCTTTGCAAAAGAATTTCAGAAATAAAGTCTGTGTGTGCTAGCATCAGCCCATGCAGTTCTGACTTTAATTACTAAGTAGGTGTGTCCTATGGAACTTAACCTCTACAGGCCTGGATGTCTTCATCTGGATAAATTCTAACCGCTGCTGAAAAGTGTCTCAGTAGGGGAGCCTAGCTGGCTCAGTGGGAAACCAAGTGACTCGACCTCACGGTTTTGAGTTCAAGCCCCACTGTGGGCGTGGAGCTTACTTAAAAAAATTAAAGTAGGGGAAAAAAAAAGTGTCCTGGTAAATTAAAAAAAAAAAAAAAAAAGACCTAAATCACATTAAGTTTCCATGGTAAAATGGTCCTGTTTGAACATTCTTCCTTTCAGGTTAGCTAGCAAAATTTGCATCTGCGCTCTTAAAAGGCGAAATGAACAGCGTGCGGACTTTATGAAGCAAGTACAGTTCAACCAAGAACCTGTCAGCACCCGGACACGCATAAGCGCACGCACGCACACAACCCTATAAAGGAGACTTGTCACTGCAGAGCACTGTACTTTACAATACATCCCTCAAACCTAACGGGGCCGACCACACTGGGAAAAAAACAAATCTGATGCCAAGCTCTACACCTACTGCTTTTAAAAGCCCAGGCCTACTGACGTCAAACCCCCCAAACGTTATGCTTAACCACTAATGGTTCAGGCCTCTGATGTGCATCTCCCCCTCGACTCTCACCAGCCTCAGAGATCCCCAGAAAAAGAAAGGAACAGGCGGCCACCGGACAGCTGACCCCGGACTTGGGAGCTGTTTGGCAATAACGAGCATGGTTTTTGAGGCGGTTTGCGATTCGATGTGAACTCTCCAGGAAGTGCTGCAACGACAGAACTGGCAAGTGGACTATCAAACCGGCAATTTCCTGCGGGTCTTGCTAAAACGCTGCCAACCTCGCTTCCTTTCACAGCCGCCCGCTAGTTCCCTGGGGTCTACTCCGAAGGCGCAGGGGTTGAGGCCCATTAGGCGGGGCGGAAAGGCTGGCCTCTGACGAGGACGGAGAAAGCTGGTGTCGGCCGGAAAAAATAAGCAGAACTGAGTGAAGAGGGATCCGCCTGAGGCGGGGTGGGGGCTGCCACCAGCGAGAGAAAAGTGGGGGAACGGGACACGAAAAGGGTGGCTCTGAAGAGACGAAGGGCCGCGCTACGAGGGTGAGGCGAGTCCCGGCGAGCCGACGGCTAGGGAACAATGGCGCGGGCGTGACGTGAGGCTGGGGGCGTCGCCGCTGCACGGAGTTAGGGGCCAATCTGAGGCAGGGGCGAGCTGCGGCTGGGGGCGGGGGAGGGGGGCGCCGTACGGGGACGCGGGCGCCAAGCCGGCGGGCAGGCAGGGGAGCGCTAGGAGGGACGAGAAGGGCCCGAGGGGCGCAGCGGCCCGGGTGGGGCAGGGGCAACCGCCGGCCCCCGGTCCCAAGTCGCGAGCTCGGCCGCGCACCCTCCCTCGCGAGCTTGCTGGCTTTCTCGCCCGCTCCCTCCCCGCCCTCCCGCGGGTGCAGCCGCACTCACCGGCCCCGCCGCACGGCCGCAATCCCAGCGCGCAACTGCCGCAGCTGCCTAGGCGCGCGCCTTCCCCGCCCCCGCCGCCCTGGCACCGCCCCCGCCGCCCTGGCACCGCCCCCAGCTCGAGCCCTGCCAGGGACCGGCGCGCTGTTCTTTCCCCAGCTCCGCCGCAGAACCCGGCCGCCGCGACGCTCCCTCGCCGCTCTGACAGCGAGGAGCCGCGAAGCTCGCGTGTGCCTCGGACCCTAGCGTTCTCGGGTTTGCTAGATCCACAAGCAACCCGAAAATCAGTTGTTGCTGAGCTGTGGGGTAACGCGGGCTGACAATCCTTACATGTCTTTTTGGTCTCCATCCCTTGGCCTTGTGCCCAGCCCCTCAGCAAGGACCCAGGCTACCTAGCCTTGGCCTACACTCCAACGCTTTTCCTTAGAGGGATGGGGCACCCTTTTTCCCAGTCACAGAACCTTTCCCCAGGTTCTTCTGGTCGAACTGACCTCAAAGCCCCTCTGGTCCAGAGCCCCATAACACCCTTGAATCCCATTGGTAGTTAAAAGAACTAGCTTTGGAGTCTGTCAAAACAGTTTGGAATTCCAGTTCCACCACTTAGAAATTGTGTGACCTTGGGCAAGTTACCTGACCTCACTACCTAGGTCCTTCATCTATAATACAGGAACAGATAACAATAGTACCTACAAGTGTTACAGGATGAAATAATAGAGGAAAGGTGCTTAGCACAGTCCTGGCATGCAGCACTCAATAAACGTTAGTTATATCGACCTACCACCAATTCTAAAGAAGACCCCAAGTGACAGAAAGCCCACTGTTTCCAGAGTAATGCATGCCTCAGCAGTTCTGACAACAGTTATAAATTGTTACTGAAACTTCTTCTTTCTGGCCTAAGTCCTATCCCTTGGGAGCCTCAGAGAACAAACATGTCTAATCTCCCTTTGACCTTCTACTTTTCAGATACTTGAAGATCTCTGCGCAAGGTCTTCTCTTGTTCCGGACCAGTATCTCCCATTACTCGGGGAGGGAAGGTCTTTGTCCTCATTCTCCTCAAGCACCTAGTAGGTTTGAATGTGGCTCCTGTAGAGTAGATCACCCAAAAGGGAATCAAATGTTTTTAGTACCATCAGAGCAAAGTACCCTAACTTCCTCCTTGTAGGACTTACTGCCTTCCATTCACACAGTAAAGTTCTTGGCTCCCCCACTACTGGCTCATTGCACTTGCCATCGACTAAAACCTCCAAGACTTTTAAATACCTGCTCTGCTGGAGCATGTTTACCTCTCTGATGGGTTTTTTTTTTTTTTTAAAGATTTTTATTTATTTCTAGGAGAGAGAGAGAAAGATAGCGTGAGCAGGGGAGGGTCAGAGAGAGAGGGAGTCACAGACTGAAACAGGCTCCAGGCTCTGAGCTGGCAGTCAGCACAGAGTCCGACGCGGGGATCAAACCCACTAACCGCGAGATCATGACCTAAGCGAAAGTCGGTCGCTTAACCGACTAAGCCACCCAGGCGCCCCACCTCTCTGATGGTTTTTGAGCCAAGTTCAATTCAGGTCAGCTGAGGACAGGCCTTGGGCCTCTCACCTACTAGATTTTTCAGGATATGTGACAGAAAGAAATAGGAGTTGAGTTAGTCTAATACCATCTTTCAACCAAGTGTTTTTGGAAGAAGGTCAAGATTTCTGTCTAAAGACCATCCCACTGAGCAAATAAAATGCATATATATATATGTACACACACATATATATATACACATATATACACAATATATATATAGTGTATATATTGTATATATATATGTGTGTGTACATATATATATATATATACACATATATATATACACAAACTAAAAGGAAATATATAATTGAGTATGTTACTCAGGGTGGTTTCTTTTCTTTTTTTTTTTTAATGATTTTTTTATTTCTGAGACACACACACACACACACACACACAGCATGAGCAAGGGAGGGTCAGAGAGAAAGGGAGATACAGAATCTGAAAGAGGCTCCAGGCTCTGAGCTAGCCATCAGCACAGAGCCAGACTCTGGGCTCAAACCCACGAACCCATCAGATCATGACCTGAGCGGAAGTCGGATGCTTAACCGACTGAGCTACCCAGGCGCCCTGGTTTCTTTTCTTCTTTATACTTTTCCATAAACTTCCTAGATTTTCTACATTGTTTATACTACTTTTATAATCAAGAACTTTGTTTCAAAAAAAAAATCAGAAAAAGTAATTTTAAAAATAGGAGACATGTAATAACTTTAAAAATTAGGAAACAAACTTAAGAGATAACCGACTAAGGAAAATTTGTAATTTATAAAACAAAGAATTTGTATCTGGAACATATAAAGGATTCTGAACAAATCAATAAGAAGAAAAATCTACTAGAAGAATGGGCAAATAATATAAATAGGCAGTTCACAGAAAATACAAATTGCTAACAAGTACACAAAAAAATACTATCTCGCTAGTAACCAGGGAAATGGAAATTAAAACAGAGGTTGGCAACAATTTTTAATCTTCATAATACCAAAAGAATATAAATTGGCACCTCCACTTTAGAGAGCAATTGAACAACATCTATTAAATCCATGTCTCAGCAAAACCACTTCTACTTTTCTAACTCTATGTAATATGGAAGTATGTATAAGGATAATTACTATGATACTGTCAAAAAAGAAAATGTGGGGGAGCCTGGGTGGCCCAGTCAGTTGAGTGTCCAACTTTTGATTTCAGCTCAGGTCATGATCTCACTGTTCAGGAGATCCAGCCCTACATTAGTCTCTGTGCTAACAGAAAAAAAGTAAAATAAACTAAAAAAATAAAAAGTACTCAAAGTTAAATAAGTAAAATAAATAAACTTAAAAAAATAAAAAATACTTAAAAGCTAAATAAACTTTAAAAAAATAAAAATTTAAAAAAACCGTGGAATCAGCCTTAATGCCCATCAGTAGGGGAATGGCTAAATAAAATATAGAATGCTCATAATGGAATTCTGTACAGGATTTAAAAGAAGTGACACTGGGGCGCCTAGGTGGCTCAGTCAGTTAAGCATCTGACTTCAGTCAGTTAAGCGTCTGACTTGCCTCAGGTCATGATCTCACGGTTTGTGGGTTTGAGCCCCGCATTGGGCTCTGCTGACAGCTAGCTCAGAGCCTGGAGCCTGCTTCAGATTCTGTATGTCCCTTTCTCTCTGACCCTTCCCTGCTCACGCTGTCTCTCTCTCTCTCAGAAATAAATAAAACATTAAAAAAATTTAAAAGAAGTGACCTTGATCTATATGTTAATATAGTTTATCTCAAAATCATCTAGTTGAATATAAACAGCAAGTTGCAGCATGATATATATAATATCATATCGATATTTTAAAAAATTTTTCCTCAAAATGGATAACTTCAGTCTAATTATAAAAATCATCAGACAAACCCAAATTAAGGGGTATTCTACAAAATACCTGACCTGGATTCTTTGAAAGGGTTAAGGTTGGGGTGCCTGGCCGGCTCAGTTGGGAGAGCATGCTACTCTTAATCTTGGGGTCAAGAGTTCAAGCCCCATGTTAGATATAGAGATTACTTAAAAATACATAAATAAATGAACTTAAAAAAAAAAAAGAACTGGAAGCCTTTTTTAAAAAAGTGTTTGTTAGGGTCATGGAAGTCAATAAAAGACTAAGAACTATCACAGATTGGAGGAAGCTAAAAGAGACAACTAAATGAAGTGTTGGATCCCGGACCCATGAAAGCACATTAGTGGAAAAACCTGGTAAAGTTCTAACAAAGTTTATAGTTTAATTAATAGTATATTGTACCAGTGTTAATTTCTTATATTTGATCATTGAACCAGAGTTCTGGAATCTGTTAACATTAGGAGAGGCTGAGTGAAGGTATACTGGAACTTTCTGTTAGGATCTTTGCAACTCTTCTGTATATCTGAAGTTCTTTCAAAATAAAATGTTAAAATACTCTGCAACTCTTCTGTAAACTAAAATTATTTTCAAAATAAAATGTAAAAACACAGACATAAATATCATTATCTCTTATCAACACTGCTATAGAAAATGTCCTCTTCTAAACTCTTATGTTGAAACCTAATGCCCAATGTGATGGTGTGTGGAGGTGGGGCCTTTGAAAGGTAATTAGCTCATCAGGGCAGAGTCCTCATAAATAGAATAAGTGCCCTTGTAAAAGAGACCTCAGAAAGCTTCCTACCCCTTGTGCCCTGTAAGGACAAAGTAAGAGGACAGCTGTCTCTGAACCAGGAAACAAACCTTCACCAAATCTGCTGGTGTCTTAATCTTGGACTTCGCAGCCTCTAGAACTGTGAGAAATTTGTTTATAGGTTACCAAGTCACTAGTATACTATTATAGCAGTCCAAACTAAGGCAATCACACATTCAGTTTGTAAAAGATTTTAAAAACAGGTTATAAGTCTGCATGCCAAACTCATCAGAAGTTATCTCTAGGGGCATCTGGGTAGTTGTTATTAAGCATCCAACTCTTGAGTTCAGGTCAAGTCATGATCTCACAGTTCATGACATGGAGCCCCACACTGCCTTGGGATTCTCTCCCTCTCTCATGCCCCTCCTCCACTTTGTGTGTGTGTGTGTGTGTGTGTGTGTGTGTGTGTGTGTGTGTCTCAAAATAAATAAACTTTAAAAAAATATTCTTTCTTAAAAAAAAAGCTACCTGTATCTCTAAAGATGGGGTTAAAGACCAAGATTGGGGGTAAAGTTCAAGGGGAGTTTAACTTAGTTTTATGGTTATCTGAAGATAAATGTATTCATGTATTATTTTTGTAACCAGAAATTAATTTTTTTAATTGCAAAGGAAAGAAAAGGGACAGGGCATTTGGCCTTATGATTCCTTCTGGAGCAAGACAAGCCATACCAACTCTGAAAGAACTGAACCTTCTAACAGAAGAGTGGGGAGCCTAAGGAAGCAAAGGAGCCTTAAGTGGCTTGCTTATGATTTCTAACTTGGCATGGGCTGAAGGACCTGGGCAGTGAGTGCTTAGCAAGAGGCCATCCTACTGTGGCCTTGGATGGTTTCTCACCAAATTTCCTGCCCAGCACCCACATGGCTGTCCCACCTCCCTGATTCATACTATTTTCCCCAGAATACCATAAACTCTGAGTCAACCAGAATGTTGACTGAGCTTTCACAGGTTACTCATCAGTTTTCTGCTCCTTGGTAGAAGCTCTCAGAGAAATGCAAACATTGCTTAACACCCTGGCCTGGGGCCTAGAAACAACTTCCTCCTGCCCAAAAATCTTTCTCCCAGGAAGTGTTCAATCTTAGATCCAATCAGCCACCTCATTTGTCTCCTCTGTTTTTCATATTTCTTTCTCTAATAGCACAGGGTCAGCACTTACCATGATAAGTGCCAGTGTATGGAAGGAGACAATCAGAAAATGTTTAGTCTAGCTAGAAATGTCTAGTCCAACTTGAGAGATAGGACATCTATGTAAAACTTAGAAGGCACCTGAACTGCCAGCCCCTCTACAGAGCAGTGCAGCCTGCTTGAACATTCCACATTTTTAAATTAAGCAGCACCCATATTAGCACTAAAGTTTATGGCATACAAATGTCAGAATGAGAAAAAGCATCTACTTGTCTATTCAGAAAGCCAATTCTTTGTTAAGTATGTAAGGTTGGGCTTTCTACCTTTTGTCAGTATAAACATTTCCTAATTGATTTTCCTGTCTTGGCATTCCATGTCAACCTCAGTAAAAAGTTTTCTATGCTAAAAGTAAGCTAAACAAATATATAATTACTTTTGAGACAAGAAATACAATTAGAAGCTGATTGGGGCGCCTGGGTGGCTCAGTCAATTAAGCATCCAACTCTTGATTTTGGCTCAGGTCATGGTCTTATAGTTTGTGAGGTGGAGCCCCACATGGGGCTGAGAGCACCCAGCCTGCTTGGGATTCTCTCTCTCCTTCTCTGCCCCTTCCCCGCTCACTCGCTCTCTCAACAATAAATAAACTTAAAAGAAAGAAACAAATAGAAACTGATTTAATGAATTTATCTTCTGGATATGGACACTTGTGGGAAATTAAAGACATGACTAAACAGGAAGGAGCACATAACTCACAACAGTTTTTATATAAACCCATTTTGTCTTGCAGACCACTAATTCTCTCAGCCCACAATCCAAGTCTTCTCTCTGACTTTTTTACATATTACATATAAAATGCACAAA